TATATTTATACTTACGTGTATGTAAATATTGTATAAATAAATTATTATCTAAGATTACATTAACTATATTCCTTGTTTTATATATACGAGAATATGTATATATAAAATTAATTATTCATTCACAATAAATATATTTGAATAGTAAACATGCCCATAGTGAATTTGTTGGTAAGAAGTACTATATGGAATTAATTGTTATATAATATAACAACTATGAATATATTGTAGTATTTTGACATATTAAAAGAAGTGGGTCTCTATTATCTATTACCAATATTAAAACAAATTAAATAGAAATTCTAATCAATCTTCAATAATTATATAATAATAATAATGATAAGTGAGAAAATGTTATACAAAAATTTTAAAGACTGACAGAGAATAAGGCTTGTCCATTTAACATATTTTTTAAAATGCATACATGTATTATTTTTGTGTTAGAAAAAAACGAAACACTATAACGAGAAAAAATAAAAGTCTTTGTCCAGGCATTTTATAGAAAATTCAAAATATCTTAGTATAAAATCTAGTTAATATTTTCTTACTGTTCATGAATTTTTAATTTTAAATTATAATTTTAAATATTTTCTATTTGTTTTCTTATTTATTTTGGTAAAAAAAAAATAAAAAATCAAACTTTTGATATATTTGTACATAATATACTCAATAGATAAAATAAAAATGGCTTAAAATTTGTAACGAAAACCAGTCACAGACATACTCGTATATATATACATACATTTAGAGTAACAAAAATTACAATGATTCAAAGTTAACTATTTTATGTCACAAAACAAATAAAATAAACAGAGAAATAATAAAAAGCAACTACAAACAAAATGAAACTTTCATGTAAAAAAAAAAAAAAATAGTAAAAAGCAAAAAAAAGAAACGAGAAACAAAAAGTCAAGAAACCCAAATTCAAATTTGTATTAAGGAAAGAAAGAAAAATAGCACTAATAATAATAAGCAACAGAAACGGCTGCAACAGCAAGACAACAACAATCCAAAAAAAAACAAAAGAAAAACTCCTAGGAAGAAATAAAAGCATTTTCATAATGGTACATTACTATACTTTAAAGTGAAAAATGAAAAAAAAAAAAAAAAAATTAAAAAATTAGAAAAACACAAAAAAATAAAGGTAACCAAAAACGACATTCAAGCCATGTAATTGAATTTATTTATAACCAATTTTTATTTTTTTTTTTCATTTTTTTTTTATTTTTTTCTTATTCTTTTTTCTATTTCTATTTAACTATATTCGATATTCGACGCGTTTTATGGAATTTTGTAGCTGTATTACATTTTGCTTTTCTGTTCTTGCTCTTTTTTTTTGTTTTTTTTTTGATATTTTGTAAACTCGATGAAACGAGTATTGCCGAACGAATCGATTTTTATTTTCGTTGTCTCTATTTTTTTCTTCGCGTAATAAACCACTTTTAAAAGTTAAAGAAAAAAAATAATAATAATAATAAAAATATTAGAAGACAAGGAGAGAAAAAACAAAAAAAAGAGAAGAAACAAAAAAAAGAACAAAAAAAAAAAACGAAAACCGGATCCAGGCAAGAACCTTAACGGTGAACAAAAAAAAAAAAAAAATTTTTTTTTATAAATTTTTCTTTTTCTTTTTTTACTTCTTTTCAAATATAATGACAAAATCATTCGAGACTCGTACAATTGTTGGAGGAGAGAAACCAGTTCTGTTATTGTTGATTTTTAATTTTTGTTTTTTCATTTCTTTGTTATTTTTGGTTTTTGTTTTTTTTTTTTTTTTTTAAAGAATATAACACAAATTAAAATATCGTGTTGAGGCTTTAAACTCGCTTTAAAAAATACTTTTCCTGATTTAGGTTTTTTTTTTCTTCTCTTTCTTAATGAATCAACATAAAAAAAAAATCAATTTGAATAGTATAACAAAAGTTAATTAACGTTTGTGAGTAAATTGTGTTTTGTGATTATTTGAATGAGTGATTTTATGTTGAAATTATCACTCATTTGAGTTAAACTAAGGGTTTCCTCTTATTAATCGAATAATAATTTAAAAAAATTTGCACAATTTCAATTGTACCTACAATTATGTATTAAAAATTAATTTCGAAATTATTGTAAAATTGAAATTAGAATTGTGAATTGTTCAAAAGTTTTTGACGTTTAAAATTCATATAATTTTTGTGACAGACTTAAAGTTAAAAATAGACCTTTATTAATAAAATTAAGGTAAGAAATTAATTTATTTGTTTGTATTTATTAAAAAAGAAAAATTGCTTAAAACTTTTAAATTCTCTTTTTTTTCAGAAATGTTTTACAAATGGACTGGTTTCTCCATTATAAAAAAAATGAAAGACATTTATTATTTATTTTGTTAGACTTTTTTTTGATGGATTTTGTCAAAACCCTACTCCACTTCAATTTGCTCTAATATTTATAATTTTAAATATTTTAATTTTCTTAACTTTTTCAACTTACTTTTTTTGACTTGTTAATTAATTTTGTAAGAAATTTGGAAGCAAAATGGTAGTTTAAATGGGATTATATTTGAGTAAAATTTTTTAATCCTTTATGTAGGTGCGTTATAGGTTATATAGGTGATTTATTGTAGTAACATTTTTATTTAATAAATAAATTACAAGGCATTATATTTTAAGTAATTAAAAGTAGGCATTATTTCATATTGTAAGAAAAAAAAACCATAAATTTAGACAATGTATGTCGTTTTCTATTGTATGTTAAAGAAATTTTGCGATGTTACGCGTTCCAAATTGTACAAAATGCGTTTTCGAAATACAAAAAAAAAAACAAATCGTTCATTCAAAAAATTCTGAATACTGAAAAAATCCTGCTGAATGGTGGCATTAAAAAAATTGTGGATTATAAAAATATGACGATGTTATCAGTGCCTGTGTTAGTTAATATTGACATAGCGCTCACTTTTGACATTTTACGTTGAATTTTGGTTTAGAAAATTTGGCAATAACTTAGGCTGCAAATATTAAGAAGGCTGATAATAATGTTTATAATATAAAATATCGATTTAAAAAAAAGGCAGCCAAGGGCAAAAAAAAAGCAAAAATTGTATGCCGAAATGTTAAAAAAAAAACTTTGTTTCTGCATGATAATGCAATATTACTTCCTTATTTTTTTGAATGTGAATACAGTTTAAGTTACAGTTTTGGATTTAATGTGCAGTTAAGTTAGTACAGTTAATACAGTTAATAATTATACAATTTAAATAAAGTTCTACTTATACTTAAGATTTAAGAGTCTCCGAATTCATTTTCTTAATTCAATTTTATTTAATCCCTATAGTATTTATAGTTAACAATATATACAAAACTATTTTATTCATATAATTTTTATATTCTTGTTTAGTTAACATTTCATATGACATTATTATAGTTACAGCATAAAGTAAGTAAAACAACAACAATAACAAAAATAGCAGCAACAACCGTGCAACAGCAATAATATTTTTTTAAAACGACAACAGCTACAAAAATTAATCGCAACACACACTATACACACGTACTAGTATTAAAATGTTTTATATACGTTATATTCAATATTATAAAAAGCCGTATAAACAAAACAAAATCCACAAGTAGTTATACAAAAATGCATAAAACAATTTGTTGTTGTTTTTCTTATGTTTATAATAATGTTTCTTAAGATGAAGGTTGAGTCCAACGCTTTGTTTATTTTTATATACGAAATAATCAAAATAAGTATACTGCACATCAGCTATAAACGAGAGAACTACAAAATAAAGAGAAAAATTCAAAAAAAAAAAAAACAAAATGATAAAAAAAAGAAAACGAAATAAAAATAAAAAAAAAATAAATACAAAATAAAGTAAAGCAACAACAACAAGAATACTCGTTTTTTTTTCATAAATACTATACTAGTTACTAGTATAGTAGATATCGAACGAAAAAAATGTATAGCAGTGGAATAGTGAATAATGAACCAATTAAATTCAGTCTATCAATCTTTAAAACTAGTCAGCTAAAAAATTTCGAGTAAATTGAACGTATATTGAATACAGATCGGATTATTGATCGGATTATAAGAAGAAAAAAAAAAAAACAAAATAAAATAACAGAAAAAAGAGAAGCAAAAAAAATGAGAAGACAAGAGCAAGAAAAAATATATTTTTTTTCTTTTATAAAATAAATTAATAATATTATTAATTTTAATTCTGTATTTAATTACAAAACAAAATAAGAATGAAAAAAAACGGATTTAATACTTCAAACACGTGCATTTTAATAATATTATTGAAATATTTTTATAATTATTAAAAATTATTTATTTAATATATACGAAAATATATATATACGAAATCGAATATTAATTTAATTAATATAAAATCAATATGAATAAAATACTGATTTTCTCGAAAAAAAAAATTAATTTTTAAAAAATAATTTTAAATATATAAAGTGAGAAAAAATAATATTTAAATTTATAATAATATAAATTAATAATATACATATTATATGTATAACAAATATAACACTATATATACATATATATATATATATAGAAGTAATATGGAAAACCTTTGTTCAATTATTTTACCACCAATATTTTCTAATAATGTTCAAAGAACAATTATTATAGTAGTGAAAAATTTAAATCTAATAATGTTTATAAAAAAACTCTTAAACTCTTAAATAGATCGGCATTTATATATAACATATAATATGTATAAACATATGTTTATGTACATATGTTACTATATTATTTCATTGTATTAATTATGATACCATTTATAGAATATTTATGCTATAGTAACTATTAAAAAATTTAGCTATTTTTATATTTTATTTTTTTTCTCTTATTTTTTTGTATTATATATTTTCACATAAGTATAAATATATATTTATACAATATAATATTAAAGAAAACTAATAGAAATAACAATAATAATAATAATAAAGAAGTGAACAAGAAAATATTCTTGTATATATATTTTTTGCGCGACTTGCATCATATTTAAATCGCGTTTAAAGATTTTTTTCAACTCGTACTTTATTCTCTTTTTTTTTTGTTACAAAAAAAAAAACAAAGTAATAAGATAACACAGAAAAAAAAGGAATATTTTACTCCTCTATACATATACATAATAATATATGTGAATACATACACGTATTTGTGTTAAAGTGTATGTATATATGAATAAAAAAAAAAAAGCAATAAGAAATACCTATACGTAGTATAAAAGAATCCAGCATCCAACTTAATATTTTACCAGGTCAGTTTTAAAAGCATCATACAAGAGAGGTAAATCTGAAAAAAAAAACCATTTACATTTTTTTTTTCTCTTGTTGTTGTTTTCATGAAAAAAATTTGTTATAATGCATTATATATGTTTGTATGTATATACATATATGTATATACATATATGTATAATATTCAAGTATATTATTTTTATAGAAATATATTCTTTTATATATATACAATGAAATCTGTTATACACGAAATAAATATGATTTATATTTTCAATATACAGAAATTGTTATACCAAATGAATTTTAAGAAAATTTTTATATATTTTTTTTGCAACTAAATATATACTTACATTAAAATAATTAATTTTTGGATTTTGTTCTTTTAAAATCCAAAATTATTTGTTTTTGGAAAAATATGGTAATAATAAATTGGTTTTATTAATAATTTTTAATAAAATTCATTTTTATTTTTGTATAACAGAATTTTATGTTGTATTGCAAGTATTGATCTTAAATGTATGAAAAGATCATAAAGTTTATTATACTCGTATGTATACTCACCTATGTGGGTAAAATATATTTTAATCCATTCGCGATTTTTATTTTGTTTTTATTTTGGTTTTCTTTTAATTTTATTTTTATATACTTGTACGTATAATATTATGTATATGTTCTATAACCATTTTAGTAGAAAAAGTCATTGATTTGCTTAAGGCATAACTTTTGACTTGTGACTTTTTTGTTAATTTTTCTTATTCTATATATTATACATATACATACACACAATTTTATACATTTTATATTATTTTTATAAAAAAAAAAATCGAAAAAAATCATAGATCAGAATTTTATACTATAATTGAAATTGGAAATTTTGTATAACAAGACAAAAATTAGTAAACAATTATTTATGTATGATTTGTAAAAATACATCATACTATCTTACATATGCAATATTAGTAAAAATTATGTGCATAATTTGATTAGTATAAGTATAAGTATTGTAGAATAATATGTGAAATTTGTATAACATTAATGCACTTATTTGTTTATTATTTTTAATAATTCTTTATTATAACACTTTATTTTTTAACTCGTCGTTTAATATAATGAAATGTTAATAATTTAATATTTACATTGACAATTTTCAAATTTAGACAAAACAACTTTGTTTTCAATTGTTGTTTGCTTATATTTAAGTATGTTGAAATTTATTAAATAATTGTTAGCTTTAAAAATTTTCGAAGTAGATTTGTTAGAATTATTAATTGAAATTTTGAAAAATAATATTTTAACAAAACAGAAGAAAATATATGTATGCGTATATTATGTGTGACCGAATTTGAATTCACTATTGTTATATTATTTTAAAATAAGGTATTTCAGAAACAAAATTATCATAAAAAATTTTGTTTTTAGAATTAAAACTTCTTTTGGCCATAATACTAATAGATAATATGACATAATATATGTAAACGCATATGATTATTGCGTTCTCTTTGAAGACATACATAGTATTTTGGATTTTTCCTGAAATCTTTATGAAGTCATGGAATATTGTAATGTTGTGTTGTACGAGAGTAAAAACAAATCTATATTATATTATACTGTGGGATATTTTAAAAATTTGTTGGGATAATATTTTAAATATACATATGTATGTATATAAAAATTTGAAATAATTTATTCAAAGAAATGTAGTCGTTATATAATTTCTCTCAATTTTTTTTTTTTAATATTTACCTAGGCAATATTAGTTATGTTTGAATTTTCACCTCTTATTTTATTTTCTTAAATGAAATAAGAGGTGAAACCGAGTAATAAACTTAATTTATCATGATTATGACATTCAGGTACGTTTTTAGATTTCGTATGCATTGCTGTAATTAACATCTATGAAGCCTTTTGTTTAAAATTTTATACTATATTATTTACTTAGTATGATTTTCGGTCTATGTTCTTAAAGTTTATTGTTTATAAAGTAATACATTTATCTTATATGTTAAAATTCTAGAAGTTGACATAAAGTACTAATAATTGTTAATATTGGATATCTTACTTTTGAACTATTACAAATAATAAAGTAATTTCTATAAACCCTGCTGAAAATTTAATTTTATATTTTAATATATTTTATAACAATGTGACTGATACCGATTTTTCAACTTCATATATTTCCAATGTATACTCGTATCTGTGTTTGTATTTTATATAATCAAGAATTTTCAATAGATTCTTTAGAGAAAAATAAGAATCCTTCTAATATAACATTTCATTTTTAAACTATAATTGTTGACAAATTTATGTCGGACTATTATACACACTCTTTTTACACTCTTTTTATAATAATATATTGTAAAATAACTTTGTATATTCACAAAAAATTTTGAGAAAATTTATTTCAGAAAATAAGTACCTATACTCGTACCTACATTAATATACTCAATTTCCTTCAACTCATATACTTATGTATAGTGTATGTAATATCTTTATATAAATCAAAATGTTAATTGTTAGTATAAAAATAAAATTTATAAATAATGCATTTTATTAAATTACATAATTTTAATATAAAATGTGAAAATGAAATATAAAATATATATACATACATATATTGTAATATTGAAGAAAGAATGGGAAACAAAAAAAAAAAAATAAAAAATGAAAATTTTAAACAATATACTATAATAACTGTTATACGATAATTATATTTAACAATTTTGAACTACAGTTCAAATATCAAGCAACAATTCAAAAATTAAAAAACTTAAAAAAAAAAGAATGAATAAAATAAAAAAAAACAAAAAAAAAAAAGACAAAAAGATGGCAAGAAAAAAAAAATGTAAGAATTTCTAAAGAATCAAAGTTTATAGTTATGTACAAGCCCATTTATAGAATAATTGGTCAATTATTAGCTTTGAAAATTTTTCAGTTCTTCATTTCTATCTCTTTTTTTCTTTTATTATTATGCTTATTTTTATACAATATATGTATGTATGTACATGGATGTATGTATATGTATGTATATGGATGCTCATAATAATCTTAAAATATTCTTTGATACTCGTGTAACATTCAAATATGCTTTTATTTTTACCTACATATATATCGTATATATATCGTAAATTGTTATTGTAAAGATTTCGTTAAATTATTTGTGTATAAACAAAAATACTAACATATATGGAGATATTGTATATATATTTATGTACATAAATAGTAATAAAGAGTTGATGATGACTAGGATTAAAGATGAAGAAGAGATAATTTTCGTGAAGAACTCGAAATTCATCGCATCGTATTTTATTTTTCATTTTTAATTTTTTTTTTTATATTTTCTAAATAAAAAAAATTTTTTTTTTGGTTTTCTTATTAAGATTTTTGTATTTTTTTTGTATTTTTTTTACTTATTTTTTCTTATGTACTATGAAAAAGATGAAGACACAAACAATGAATAACATTTCAATGACCTTTACAATGAAGATGGATTTTTTTTTCAACTCGTTTCTTCTCTATATAAATATATATTATATATATATACATACATACATGAGAACATAGTTACTGTTGCTTTTCAAGTAAAGATGAACTATTGAAGGTTTTTGTATTTTTTTCTTGTTATATTCTTGCAGAATTTTTGTTTATAACAACAACAATAAAAACAGCAATTTACAGAAAAAAAAAATTGCTTATATTTTTGCGTATTCTGATTTTGTTTTATTTTTATTTTTTTGTTTTCTTTAAAAATTTTTGATTTCCCAATAATAAAAAGGGTTTTCTCTTAAACTAAAGGTAAAATTAAAAGAAAATATATTTATATGTGAATAATTTTTAGAGTATATGTAGGTACTCAAGAGTTAATTTTTAAAAGTATACAAACATACATACATTTGTAAGTACATTTGAGTATGATATGAGCCATATAGGTTTTAGATTTATGCTAAGATATATAAATCACAACAAAAAAAAAAACAGAAAAAAAATCAAAAAGAAAGAGATTTTTTTCTGGTCCGAGAAAAATGAATTCTTTTAAATGAATATTGCAATTTTATAACAAAAAACATAAAAAATTTTTTTTTGGATATTTTTTTAATGAAAAAGTTTTCATTTTATGTGACCTCAATATTTCTTCTTAAAATATCGTTTTATTTATTTTGTTTTACTTTTGTTTAATAAAAGATATTTAATATATGTGTATGCACTTATTTAAAATCCATTTACTTAATTCTTTTAAGTAAAATTTTTGCTGCATAAAAGAGATAAGAGAAAATTGCATTCATATACCTATAAGTTCATAAATACATTAAAAATATGTTATGCAGCTATAAAACACTCATATATACATATGTATGTATGTTATGTTCCCATTTATTACGATACACTAAAATTATATACAAATATATTATAGTTCTATACACATTCCTTATAAAATATTCAAATTTAACTCCCTCTATATATAATAAAAAAAAATTAAGTTAAATAGTAACAATATTCACAAATACCTTCATAATAAAAATTTTAACTTTACTAATGCATTATTTTTATTATATTGCATTGCAATGCAACCACATACATATATTGCAACAATACGAGACATTATAAAGAATGACATTGTGAATATTGCAATTTTTGTTATATACGTTGTAATTTTGTATAAATACATACATATGTATATGTGAGAAATTATTAGAAATAAAATTTAAAAGAAAGACAAAGACAAAATCCCACCCTCACCTGCAAAAAAAAATTTTTATTTTTTTTTCCTTTTGAATTTTCAAAATTAACTTTTTCTTTTTTCACACATTAACGCTTTTTCTAAAATAATATTATTAAATTTATACATACATATGTATTTATATATATTAAAAATGCATATAAGCATACATACAAAACATTTAGTTCGTATAAAGGATAATTGAATGTTTATTTTATAAGTATATGAAACAAGTTTTCAATAATAAAATATTTTTGTTTTTTGGTTGGAAGAATATGAAAATAGTAATATTAAAAATTGGCATATAGCATGTTTAGAAAGGGTCATTTAGAAATTTT